AAGGACCGTGAGTGGTCAGGACGGCAACGCCGAGGAATACGACAATCAAAACACGATTTTTTTTTTCTATTTTTTTTTTTTTTTGCAGTTAGAATTTTGTAAACGACTAGTTGTGTCTCCCGTCTCTTGCGGAACGCCTCTTGCATAACGCAATGGTGAGTTCCAAATGGAAACAAATAATTAGCCCAGTGGGTTTCTGTTCTCAGATCACGCAAATTCTGGTGATTGGTGTAAGTTGCTCTTTTGCATAGGAAGGCTAAGAAATGTACAAAGTTTAAAAACGCACGTGCCGTGTCATTGTTCAATCCGTGAGATCTTTTTTTTTTTTTGCCACGTCCTTGTTGCCGTCGCCGTCGTGGTTTGCTTAAGGTTCCTAGTATCCAAGGGCTTTAGCAATACGTTCGAAAACTGAGACATAAATAACTGTTCTAAAGAAAAAAATGACTCGTTAAGTCGTTCTAACTAAAAATCTCGCGTTGAAACTCTGTATTCCTCGTCCACAAGGGTAATGTCTGGAATTTCTCTAGTAGGCGTCACAATCGAGCGAAAACAACCTTAGTTGCAAAATAGACCACGATTTTAAAGTGATGTAGATTATGTGGCTAATAAAACTAAGAAAAAATCCCAAAACGATAGCCTTTCGCGGAAGAAAATTCAAAAAGGAATTTCAGCAAGCAAATATCGACCACATCACAAGTCGCTGTTGTATTGCAGTACCTATCCAATCATGTTCATGTTTTCTTTCACTTTTATCAATGTCCACCTATGCCATCATCACGTGCACGAGCTAAAGTTTGTTAAATGGCAACACAGAACAAGAAGTGTATTATCCATTTATAAATCAAACTCTCTGCATTTAGCGTGTTCAATGCCTAGTATCCATTCAATTGCAAGAGCCTGTTTCTGTCCCACCAAATCTTAATGTTCGAAGCTTTTTATTGCAATGTATTGCAATATCTCTAGTGAAGTTTTAGCATGGCTGTCTCCTGCGTAATATCACCAGATATTCAGATGGTAGGATCATGTAAGACATCGCGACACGCAAAGCAGCTTGTAATCGTCCTCCGTTTGTCACTAGAAATTGCAATGCAACGTAAGCGAAGGTTCTGCTTTTCCATCATCTAAGCTGCCGAAAAGAATGGTGTTGTTACTTACCTAATGGCCTGAAGTTGGAAATTCAGAAGGCGCGGGTGGAATACCATTTGTTCTCGTGACATTACTCGCGGTCGAGTATGACATTACAGATCGAAAACAAAGTAGCTTTCGTTAGTAGAAAATAGCTCGCTTTTCTCCGCAGGGAATACGCTTGGTGCATGAGCAAGTCAGCAAGGAGCGTAGGTCTCGTTTTCTCGTTGTTGATTCAATTTGGACTCGAAATGAATAAATGAGTACACCTTTGTCAGTACCAAAAATAAATCACCTAATGTCTTGATTGAAGCTTAAAGCTCTCTAACCTTAAAATCTCTATCGTGCTTGTTATCTTAGGTATATTCTGGCCAATCGTGGTTTCGTTGCTAAGGTGGTATGAGAGGCTACTTTGGGTTAATTGGCCGTTTTCTATTTTTTTTTTTTTCCATCGTTTTAAAACATTTAAAGCGGTCTAAGATTTTTACTGAAATACCCGAAATTTTACAGATTGTCCAGAATTTATCATAGACTCCGGAAATAATATCAGAGTAGAGCTTTGTGGAATTAGCCGGAAACAGTCCTCAGAAACAAAACTTCTTCTGCCTATGTCTTGTAAGGGCGTCGATGGATATGGGCCCATGGAGTTAGATCTCACTCGGTTTCTTCTATTTTTCCTTTGGTCTTACTCCTTATCTGTCAACTGCCCTTGCTCACAATACAAGACGAGTAGAAAAAGAAGTGCCCACGAATCACAATAACTGAAGCAAAAGTCCATCTAAGCGGTTAAATGGTGGTGGACGTTGGGGTGCATATAACAGAAACTACATGGCCTTTACGTTAGACGAAGTCCGAAGAAACTTTAAAAACCTGGTCACCCTGCAGCCAGGAAACTTCTCAGCGTTGGTCGCCTCGACAACGTCAAAGTATCCGAAAACTAAGCCATTAGGACCATGCAAAAACGAATCGGGAAACTGCGAAGCGTGCCCCTTCACAACAGACTTCGGCCCGGGGTTTTATCCGCGCTACGTAAACCATATCAATCGGAACAGTTCAGTCAAAGTTTGTGGCCCAGAGCGTAGTGGAAAGTGCACAGCAAGATTTTTGACGCAGACTTTCTGTAAGATAACTCTTCGGATCTGACGACCTGCAATAACTTGAAAAATCTGACAGTATATCTTTAGAAAATGAACATATGTTGTCAATGCATATTGCTCTAACGTGATGGTAAGTGAAAACTTGGGCAAGTGAAAACTTGGTCACGTGACTCTTCCAATCGACCAATCGGGTTTATCGAATGCGAACTTCTCCAATTGTTTTTGACTGCAATTTTTCACAACTTTTTACCGTAAAACAGGTGAGAAAAATTCAGGGTAATTCCGATAGTCGCAGCGAAATTAATTCACCAGTCTATTGCGTACAAAATGATTAGTTCTACATGTACATCAGTTTCTCAACCAGTCCTCTCACGTCCAAGCAAAGGAATCACACGGGTGGGAACTAAGCCGAGTTGAGTTTAACGAGTATCACTTTAACGTAAAAACAGTGTAAGAAATGCCAACGTTATACAAAGTACTATTTGCTCGTTTGAGTTGAGATTATGCCACTAAGGACGATTTTTGTCTGGTATCTAAACAGCAAAAATATCTGATAATGATCATTAAATGGTGAAACATCATATCTCGCATGAAATGCTTCAGTGATTGTAAAGCCTGATTCTCATATGCTGCAGACATATCTGACATAGCCCCTGAGGGCAATTGTCGACTCCCCGCGACACAGCACCGGGGACAACTGTCGAAGCCCGGCGATCTCTTTACATCGGTCCTCAATGCATGTTTATTAGCTCGCTGACTATGTCTGCGAC